GAGCATCGTCACGTCGATCGCTTAGGGGGAGTCGCTCTCGGACGGTCAGTCCCAGCCGCCGAACCAGACTTTTTCAAGCCATGTACCGAATTTCTTTTCTTCGCCGTGGATATTGACATATTGGATTTGCTGGAGCTGTTTAGAGATGAGGTCTTTTTCAGCTGGGATCTGTCAATAGCGTTAGAGATTCCTCGCAATTTGGTCCTAGATCATAAATTCGCACCTTCTGTATGGTCTTACTATGCGGGTTGACCGGCCGTGTAATAGAGATCCAGGGGTGGCGTTCCTACGGTAGCAATGGAGGCTCGGTGTCAGGTGGGTCCCATTCCTTGTCGATGGGGCATAGAAGATGCCGGCGTAGGTATTGTAACCGAAGAGCGGTTTGGAAGGTCCGCCGTCCCCTTGACAACCTGCAAAGGGAAAGGTAAACTTGAACCACTCCGAAATTCTACGCCACCTGGAGCTGTGGTCGCCGAAATACCCCGCCATTTCCAAGTCTAGCCAAGAGACAGGAAACTTGTACAGGCCCCATTGTGCTTTGCTGCCGTTCAAAGAAGTTAGACTGTTGAGATAAGCAGCAAAGCAGGCCGTGTCCTCCACTTTGATGAGGTTGCTTCGGAACGCCCAACGCCCCTGGTTAAAACCATGTTCGCCCCGGGCGGGGCGAACGGTCTGCACGCTGCCGTCATGTCTATCTGTATCGACTCCTGACGCCTCAACTTGGTCGTTCCTTTCTTGGATGACTTCCAAAACCGCATCGGGTTCATTGAACGTGACTTTTGAGTACTTCGGTATGCGAACCCGCCGCTCGCCTCTCTTGCACCCAGGCATCTTGATTGTCTGGCTCGACCCGATAACGTGGAACTTGCGGAACTGGTCAGCTCGCAGTGTGGCCCACCAACCAAACCAGTTGACTAGACTCTGTTCATCATTCGGATCGATCGATGAGTCGGCATAGACGACGGGACTGTTGTCTTCATCATGGGCAAACGGCCCCGCCTGTATCATCCGCTCACAGTGCAGTCCAGCAGCCAAACTAGCTACCTCGCGCCGGCAGCTGCAGTCCTCTCGGCTCAGTCCATGGAGATTTGCCTCGACGTCGAACTGCATATCGCTCGGAGAGTTCAGCAGCTCCTTCCGAGCCAGGTACCTCTCGTCAGCCAACTCTGAGAGGTACTCGTGGATATTGTAGGCGGTGACGAGGCGGTAGTACAACCTCCCGGTCCATTGCGAGAACCAGTTGAAAAATTCGAGTGAGCGCCGGGGTTCGGACACCAGGAAGCTTGGCGTGATCAAGATGGCTGTGCGGTACGGGAACAGGCGTGCAAGCTGTATACCCTCGGAGGGCGTTGGATAGTCAGGTATCGCAATGGACGGGTAGAGGGGCGGATTGTGGACCGGCTCGGAGATACACCAATACTCGTCATTTCTCGTGATGAGATATCGCGAGAGATTCGGAAACCGGCGCAAGCTCCATGCCAGCATCTCGTGGATGATTAGCACGCCGGGAATGCTTTCGGCTCGGGATCTAAAGATATCCCAGCTTCCTGCGTCGTGGCTCGTATAGACCTGGCATTCGGGGTTCTTGCTGCGTAGCCAGTGGTAAAGTGCTTGTCCGATTTCCCTCTGGGACCCTGGGATCGCTAGGAAAAAGGCATGCTCGTGAGGTGGTCTCTGGAGCAGCGCTCTCGGAAGAAGTTTCTCGTAATCGAAATTAAAAAGCCGCTTGATCAACACCGCTCGTGCCGAGACATCGCCCTTGTATTCGGACTTTATCTCTGAGTCCCCAAGACCCACTCGAGAAGCCGGGGGAGGGGCCGTTGGCGGCAACACAAGCCCGAGGTTTCCTGAGGAGGCGAATATGAAGTATCCTAGGGTTTCCTCAGATGGGCTCGCGGGTTGTAAGCCAGGAAGAATTGCTTTCCACTCGTCGCATTTCGTCGGGTAAATCAAGACATTGTACTCTGGTTGGCCATAATAAAGGGCCAGCAAGCCAGCCGTTAAGTTTTCTGACATCCGCCCCAGAGAACGTTCATTCTCTTTCGACACAATTGTCCCGCTAGCAAGTTGCTCTTGCACCAGGCCGCTCATCCTGGCCGCGGCCGTCTCTGAAAAGCAAGTATGCTTGAATTCAAGGGACTTTTTCGCCAAGAAATCCGAAAGCCATGGTCGCTGGTCCATTGGTTCTCGAGGGAGGCCATTGAAGGTGACGTTTACTGAAGACTGGCCGAGCACCAACTCTTTGTCCGAGCTCTGGTTGCTTTGAATCGGCGGCGTCCAACAGCCCAGGTCCGGGCTGAGTCTTTGCCGGCCAGGAGGAGGATGGAATGTTTGCGGAGATTCTCGGATGGTAGGGCCATCAATATCCATCTGTTCCGGTTCTTGAACAATAACAGATTGGTCTTCATCATCGTCCAGAAACCGTACAGACTTTCGTTTTTTCTTCGGCCGTGGCGCTCCCGAGTCTGCGAGAGTCGACCTTGGGCTGATCAGAGCAGACATCCGTGTTTGTGGAGGTTCTAATGGCGAGGGAGTTTCCTGCTGTGGAGAAAGTACCTGAGTAGGGCTCAAGACTGAGCCCCCTGAGTTCTGTCTGCTGATAGTTTGTTTGCTGCGGAGGTCGAGCAGATCAAGTTGTGAAACATCAGGAGCAATGTCTTCCTTGTCGCGGCCCCTCAGGTAGGCCTGTATCCAAGGTCAGTGGTGTCACTATATCTCAACCATGATTTCACTTTGAAAAGAAAGGTTTGATGGGCGAGTTGCTGCTTGGAGCGTACAAAGAGCACCAACGTAAGGTGATCACAAGGTATGTCTGAAATAACATATCATATTAAATATAACATACCTGTCTAACCTGGCGATGTTTGGCAAACAACTTCGGCTCTCTCGTTGGATCAGACATCGTATCCTTAAGACTGGGCCGGGGTTTCCTAGTTTTGCCACTCGTAAAGATATTGCCCGTTGGCTGTGTTGTGCTTTTCTTAGCCGTCAGAGTCCTACGGGTGTTGGAAGTAATTGGCCTGGCTGATGTTGGTATGGAAATTGTCGGCCTCGTTTTTGATTTCGGCACTGCATCTGCAGGAACTTTTCTCGTGGGCCTGGCGGTCCCCTGGTAACCTGTGTTTTGCGGAGATGGGGGTGCAGTTTGTTTTCTCTTGGTGCTTATAGCCGAGGACGATTCTGTTGGTAGTTCCTGAGCCGTGCCCCTGGTCCGCTTGACCTCGTTCGGCAGCTGAAAACTACCAACAACCGGTGTTGGAGCAGGGGTAACCGCAACCCCAGAGCTAGAGACCTCTTTTGTATTCTTCTGCTGACTTTGAGGCCGCGCTGCTTGCGCAGGTTCTGGGAGTATAGCCTCGATCCCGGCCTCCTCCACGGCTTCCTCGTCGCTGGAATCCTTGTCGAACGGTTCTGTGAGTTTCAAGCCCAACCTTTGTCGCTTTCGATTTCGGCGGCGGTGACGCGCCATTTTCTCACTCTTCGCCTGTTTCTGCGCGTCCTCAAACCTACGAACATCGAAGGGTTTCAGCTCGCCGGTGGCATGCTTGGCCTTGTCCTCTTCCCAAATGGCTTTAAGATCGGCGCCGATATTGGATTCTGGTTCCCAAGTGCTCTCCCATAATGGAAAGTCTGTCCATTCTACGAGGTAGTACATGTTGCCATCCTCGAATAGGCGCTGGGCTAGGATATTCTCCACGCCGAATTCCTGGTCGGGGTCATGCCCCGTTACTGTGGATGTAACTGAAATGTCGTCATCGCTCTCATCGTCATGAGGAGAGTCGGGCCCAAATGAGGCCCTAGGGTCGATCTTGGACATGGCGAGTCGAGCCTCAAGGCGTGGCACGGTCGGCGAGGTTGATATCTGAACACTCCGTTTGAGGTTGATTGATTTTTTGTTGACAACAACGGACCCAAACTAGCCGGCCAACAAACGAATCAACGGTGGATGGACTGGAAGCCCCGTGCCTCTACCATTCCGGGGCTGCTTGGTGTCGAATGTTTGTTTTTGAGCGGTACCTTAGTGGGCGAACAACATCGGGAGTCGCGACTCGGACTCGAGAGTCAATCAATTAACGATTGTAAGGTGCTGCTTGGAGTAAGCTTCAGTCCCGTGCATGTGCCAGTTTCTGTTGAAAACAAACTCAAATTACTGGGAAGAATAGGTATTGTCCAGTCCCAGGTAATTTTGTGTTTGTGACTGTGGTGTTGCGAGGGGTAGGTTGATTGTTGGCAGGAGCGGTCACAACGCGCGAGAAGGGGAACAAAGAGAAATAAATAATGAGTCCCAATCAGGTATTAACGCGGAGCCATATAAAGTTTACCTACATCGCCGTGGTTGACTTTGATGGGACAGTTGGCGGATGCGCTCAGTTTCAGGCAACCTGAAATTTGGCCTAATGCTGGTTTGATCTTGGGTGACAGTCGCCCAAGAAGGAGCACATCAACAAAGTTTTGAGACGCTTCGTCGGTTTGTGAAAGAAAGGGTCGGGGCCAATCAGCAACCCGTATTGAATGATAGCTCGCCAACAACCCTGAAATTTGGAAGCCACTGGAAAACAGAAAAGAACGGAATCCACGACTTGCACTGGAATCGAAGAAATGAACACATCACACTAATTTTTGTGCCGGCTGCAGCCACGTGTTTCTGTGGAAATGATCGACTGTATCACGAACAACCGGGACGGTCGTGGAGGAATATCCACAGTTGTACGGCGTACCTAACGGATGATTACCTCGTTATTACCTGGGCATGGGCTGGGGTAGCTAGTGCCTCTTAGACACGACAGGATGCACGTGATATAACTACTCTGTTTACGATGTCCTCTCTCAAAGACTTACAGATTACACAGAAAATCAATCTGGAAAGATAGGGGGTGGAAATTTGTTTGGGGGCGTGGCCGAGCCTGGACGTCCAGTTGCTCTTAGAAAATGATTGATTTCTTCCGTTGGCTTTCTTTCTCCTTTTGGCCCCGGTCGCCATACCCAACCCTTGTCTCTCGGACAAAGTCACTAATTAAGACCCTGGCACCGCCACCACTCGTCGTCAGCTGCAGCACACCCTGAACCAACGACCCACCTCTGAGCCGCACCGACCATCCTCCTGACTCTCCTCGACATCAACCAGGCTGCACAAAGCACAAACACATCACCATTTCGCGGGACTATCCGACCTCATTTCGTGCATAATATCCACCGCAACTATGGCGAACGACGAATACGATGTAAGCCACCGCTTCCCACCTCACCCCTCATGTTTTGCGTGCGCGTGCCTTGCGCTGACCCGAGATGCTTGGATAGTTCCTATTCAAAGGTGCCTAGCCGACCCAACCCTATGCGCCTCCCCCCCATCCACCGTCGCGTAAACGTTCGACTGACGATTCGGTTTTTGATTTTAACTAGTGGTCCTCATCGGAGACTCGGGTGTCGGAAAATCCAACTTGCTTAGCCGATTCACGCGCAATGAGTTCAACCTAGACTCGAAGTCGACCATCGGTGTCGAGTTCGCCACGAGGTCCATCCAGATCGACAACAAGACGATCAGGGCGCAGATTTGGGACACAGCCGGCCAGGAACGATACCGCGCCATTACGTCTGCCTACTACCGGGGTGCTGTCGGTGCGCTACTCGTCTACGACATCAGCAAGAGCCTCTCGTTCGAGAACGTGACCCGGTGGCTGAAGGAGCTGCAAGGCCATGCCGACAGCAATATCGTCATCATGCTCGTGGGCAACAAGACCGATCAGCGGCCCCTGAGAGCCGTCCCGACAGAGGACGGCAAGAATTTTCCCAGTATGTTGTTGCCCCATTGGGGGGGGGGGGGGGGGGGTGGCCGTGGTGTGGGTGACCAGAGGACAAAGAAGCTGACGATTTGTTTCAGGCGAGAACGGGCTGTCCTTTATCGAGACATCGGCCCTCGAGGCCACGAATGTCGACCTCGCTTTCCAGAACATTCTGACTTGTATGATCCCGCTGTCACATTTTCTCTATCTGTCCCATCGCAGCTAACGCTTTGCGCCGCACAGCCATTTACCAGATTGTGTCGAGCAAGAGCCTCGCGGAGGAAGGCGCAGACGTTGGAAAGAAGTTTGACCCAAGGGAAGGCAATAACATCTCGCTGAGCCAGGAGGGGTCAAAGGAGGAGTCGAAGGGCTGCTGTTAATACCCGGGTCCGGCACGATTGCATGGCGTCACTTATGTCTGATACGAACTGGGGAAATTCTTATGGCCATGGGGGACACGGATCTGCTGCACCTTTGGGACGTTGGGGGTGGTGAATACTTGAGGGGTTATTCTAGTTTTGTTCTTTTTTTTTGTTCGTGGTGCTTTACCCTGTGCTTGCTGTTGGGATTTCGCGGTGGTTTTCTAACCATCCTCGACGCACGGATTACGGGGCATTTAGTTGAATGGACTTGAGGCAATACACTGTTCTTAAATGCGTAGGCACTAAAGGTCGAGCCGAGGTCATAGCCACCCCTCTTAGCGGGGTGTCGAGGAGCGCGAGGGGCAGAAGATGGAAGAGACAGAACGACACCCAATGGGCTTGGAATTCTTCTTCCCTCACATCCCATCTTGCAGACTACCTAGTTATCTACACGTTATCGTGGTTACCGTCAAAATCTCATACTTGGACATAAGCACATGAATCTTCTTATAGGGATGCAGCCGTGTGAAATGAGCCGTCCTCGATGTCAGAGTCCGTACCATTGTCCTCGACGCTCTCTCTCCCGTTTCAGGCTGCGCTTTGAACCGGTGGATCGGGAACGATAAGGCTTATCGGCGAGTGGGGCGCGGCTGGCAGCTCAACTTTTTTTTCGTCGATTGCCTTGCATCGCGGCCCCGCCAAGAACATCTATTCCAACCGTCCTGCCGTGTGCATCCACGCTGTCGTCTCTAACTACCAATCCTTCGACTCAATAGGTGTTGCTTTGAAGGCCAACTAGCTGCGCTCGCCGGTCCGTTTTTAGGGGAACACATCGACAAGATGGCGGCAGTATACAAGTCGCTGTCAAAAAGCGCCTCCAAGACCGACAAGGACACCGACAGCAATGGCACCGTTATTGAGAGGAAAAACAAGCAGAGAGTGCTTATCCTTTCGTCAAGAGGCGTTACCTACAGGTACGGGCGGGTAATTGGGCATTGCGGGGAGCTATGACTGACTCAATTGAATAGGCATCGCCATCTTCTCAATGACCTGGCAGCGATGCTTCCTCACGGCCGGAAAGACGTCAAGTTCGATTCCAAGTCCAAGCTATACCAACTCAACGAGCTGGCGGAACTTTACAACTGCAACAACGTACTTTTCTTCGAGGCGAGGAAGGGAAAGGATCTGTACATGTGGCTTAGCAAGGTCCCCAATGGCCCGACGGTGAAGTTCCACGCCCAAAACAGTGAGTTGGACCTTTTGAGCATGGCGCACTCGGGGAAAACAGCTACTGACCAGCATTAAGTGCACACAATGGAGGAACTCCACTTCACAGGAAACTGCCTCAAGGGCTCACGACCAATTCTCTCGTTCGACGGCGCCTTCGAGACAGAACCGCATCTCCGCGTCATTAAGGAGATTTTCCTACACATCTTTGGCGTTCCGCAGGGCGCGCGCAAGTCCAAGCCCTTCATTGACCACGTTATGGGGTTTACGGTGGCCGATGGCAAGATTTGGGTCCGCAACTACGAGGTTCGGGAGGTCGAGAAGGTCAAGGGGCGAAGACGGCGAGGAGGAGGAGGTGAAAGAGCAAAGGGGCGCAAGACCAAGGGCGGCGACAACGACACAGACGTCATGCCTCGTTGAGATCGGGCTCGCGGTTCGTGCTCACGCCCAATCATTATCCAGGGAGGGCGCGTGTTGGTGGGCCGAATCATGTACGAGAAACAAGCGTTTTCATCTCGCCAAACCAAAGTCCGGTCCGACCTGGCGAAAGGCGAAGGCGGGGAAGGCATAACGCGCGGACAGAGCAGCAGCGGGATACGCTGGCGCGAAGGAGGGGTCTGGGTCTGGAAGACGGCGGGAAGAAGGATCGGAGCGGATTAGATACCCGAGAGCTTTTTGCTTAAAGCTGGGAATGGATTCTAGGATGGCGTTCTCTGGGGAGACAGATCACCGAACATTGTGTGTGGTAATATAGGGATTTGTTTCAGCGCACCGGCACATTTTGGCCTCCATTCGGCGCAATAGCTTTTGTTTCCGTTCGACAAAAGTTGTTGCTATCGAGCATACTTCGTACGGCGTTATGGTGTACACATTGGGAATCTTCGGTGCTGGGAAAGTTTAACCAACATGTTCGTCCTTGACCCCTGTAGATTGCATCAAGGCACGGACCTTCAACTGACTCGGAACTCCGGCCCGGGGTAACGGACCAGGGTGACACGCCTGTGAATGCAACATCGCGACATCACCCATCATCACCCTGCCATCTCGTGTCAACAAGCAGCCGCCCAGCTCATGCTTTAGCCATCAAGTGACCATCGACGCACAATTAGCTGCCATCATTGTTGATGGCAATGGCTCCAATGCGGTCCCGAGACGTGGAACACGCCACCACAACCATCATGGCTACTCCCAACCGGCGATGCGCCGCCTGCTGCGAATGCAGCTTCACTACCCTCTCTTTTGATAGCCCCAACGTCGGGGTTGATAGGGAATAGGGGATTGGGGATATTGTGGTCTGGCAGTTGACAGGGCGGGAGTAGGAACTCTCGTGTTTGTTGTTGCTGTTTGGCCTTTTCTTTACTTATTAGGTGTGGTTTGGTTTGGTTTGGTTTCACGTGTCCGACGTGAACAAACCGAGTGGTTGTTTAGGGGCTGCTGGCGAAAGAGCCGTCCAGGCATCACTTTTGACGTTGGTGGTGGATCAGCTTTTGTTATCCTTTGAGACTGGTAGGGAGGCCTTAAGACATCTCGGTCTTCAGTTCAGGGCGCCGTTCTAACACCACTTTAGTCAACGCTTAGCGAGGATCCCATCATGTCACCTGCCGAGGCCATCCAGCAGGATGCTGCTAGCCAGCCATCTGCGGCCTCACCCATCCTCCTGGACTCCTTACCGGTCGAGACGCTGATCGAGATAATCTCCTATACCGACTTCGACACCTTCGACAGCATCCGCGCCACCAGCCAACGCCTGCGGTCCATCACCGACCTGCACTGGTACCGGATCCTGCCCGGCATCATCGAGCGCGACTTCCACCCGGTCCAGGAGTTCTTCGAGACCGTATTCGACGCGGACGTGCCGTCGGGCATGACCTGCGCCCGCCTGCTGATGGTTTCGGACACGCTCGACGACGGCCTGCACCCGCTGCTGGGCTTCTGCCGCGTCGTCAGGCGCTGGGAGGCCGAGTTCCCGCGCCTCCGCTTCGCCAGCATGCCCATGTCCAGCCGGTGCCCTCCAGCCCCGTGAGCTCGCCCGGCTGCGCAGGGCGCTGTATCTGTGGTGGAAGTTTGCGCGGGTTTTCCATGGCCATGCGACGTGCGCGGTGGAGAATAGTTGGCGATGCGAGGCGGGCGTTTATGCGGCAGTTTTCTTCGGCGAGGTTGCATGAGGCTTATGATATGTGGGTATGTTGGATTACGGTTTCTAATTTCTGCCGCCCAGCCTTTCCTCGACGCCATGATTTAAGAGCGCATGGGACTGATGTTGCTGAATAGGGAGACAGTTTGTCAAGCCGTCGGCGGGAGAGTGTGCCCTTCGGTTAATGCCATTATGGGACTTGAAGTAAGTGAGAAAAGGACTTCCTATTTCTTCAGCAAGGAAGGTCGGAATACTGACCTGAGTGGTGCTCCAAAGGACAAGTTCCTACCAAAGGAGGCAGGAGCCCGTCTTGGGTGGGGTGATGATCGAGTTAACAGTGATATCATCAACACCATGATGAAGTTGCTCCCTGACGATGTCCTTCACCTACTTGTCTATCGGCACAGGTATGCCACCAAGTCAAGCGTCATCGATTTTGTTAGGTTCCGACACCCACAGTACGTGCATACCAAACCTAACCTATCCCCTCCTACCACCACAATATCACAGTTGTTGACGAAATGACCTGGCCCAGGATCGAGGAGAGCCTTGCAACCTTTGGGGAAGCCACTATGCACGTGTTTCGAGAACGCGGCTTGCCGCACCTTGGGCCCTTTTCCCAGGGTCTGTTTCCAGAGCCTCACGGGGGGATACTCGATTACAAGCACCCCCTACTGGAAATGTGGCGTGCTGTGCACGATGGTGATGCTGGCGTAGGGGATGCCAACTACCCCGGACTCTCTCGGATCACTCGGCGTGGCAGGTTGGAACCGAACCTGTAAGAGCCGAGAATACCTGTCTTTGCTGTTAGACGATAGGAGACAGGGGTCCAAGCCCGATGGTGTCATTTTGGATGTGTTGAACAAGGTTAGGTGCTGGGTGCTGTGTATGGTCTTGAAGCTCCCACCCTCGCACCCTTGAGTGCTTGTGCTAGACCGGATATAGACAGCCCTGGATGGCCATAAATTGTTTTCTTCTTTGATTTGCATTCCACCAAAAAGTCATTGATCTCGGGGTCCTTTATTGCCAGGCTAGCTCTCCTCCAGAACCCAGGAAGAAGATACCTTGGGAGCTTAGGAAGTCTTCCAGACGGGCAGCAGACCCGGATCCCACGACGGGACAAGTTGGTACATTAGAGCCGGCTTTCGACTTGAAATGCAGTAAAATGATAAAAGAATTGCCCAATACAAAGGTGCACTGGTAGCTTGCTCTTTCTCTCGATTTCCCAATGATTTTCCTCTCCATTTTAATTGCCACAGGGGGGTGTTGGGAAACAAGGCGCTAGGATCGGGCGTTTGGACTATTTTGTAGTGGGGGTGGCGGCTGCTTCCCATTCACCCAGCCACGCGCTCCCTAAACATCAACCCAAATCAGTTCGGTGACCGACCACTTACTTGCCTACCTCTAATTCACTGCAGCCTTACGCAACCACCATAATTGATAAAAGCCGCCGCTCTTTTGGTAAGTAGATGCCCTTTTAACTGCTGTAATAATATACCATCTGTTTCGTGCATCTGCATGTGCGCGAGCCGGGACGAGAGCGCGCAGACAACCGGAGAGGTGTGCAAGTCCCAAATGCATCACATGGAAGATCCATCCATTCTGAGCATTGACATGTTTTCTTTCTTCTCTTCTCTCTCTCCATCCCTACCTGCTCCACTGCACAGGCTACACTGCACCCTTCCACCTCAAGGCACCCTTCCACCTCAAGGCACCATTTCGCCTTAAGGCACCCCCGAGAAATATTTGCACGCTCATCATCCATCTTCCATACATTATCTTGACCTTCCCTCAATATTCTAACTCATTTTCCACAGACCTATCTGGTCGGCATCTTAACCTCGTTCTTGTCGCTCCTTTTACTTGCCCTGGGCATTACTTAAGTTTACTCACACCTTTTGTAGGACTGGCCTTGGAACCAGTCCAACAAACACCTTGGGTAGACTTTATCTGTCGAGACTCTGCCTTCTATGCCACGTAGGTGCCTACAACAACGTCTCGTTCTCTGCTCTTTCAGCATCTTCAGTCAGACCTTACTAACTGCTCTTAAAGAAAACATCCAAACGACTGCACCTCAGAAACACTTTCTCCCAGGCAGCGAGCCTAGGATGGATGACAACGATGATGACGTTGTCATGGACGGTGAGGATTACCGTATGGCCACTGGCCCTTCGGCTGCCAACGGGTTTCTAGATCCAACCACGACAGGAGAGAGCTCGTTATTAGAGACTACAAATGGCCAGAGTGCCAACGGAACCGCACAGGATGAGGACCAGGAGTCCGACCCAACTGCTTATCCGGAACGTTTGCGGCGGCGTGGCCTGCTCCCGACAGGGTGCTGCTACGATGACCGCATGAAGCTGCACGCAAACGCTGACTTTGGGCCCAATCCCCATCATCCCGAGGACCCCTCGCGGATAGAATACATCATGAAAACCTTCAAGAAGGCTGGCTTGGTGTTCACTGGCTCCGACGCCGACCTGGTGCACATTATCCAGAACGAGCCAACCAAGTACATGTGGCGGATCCCGGCAAGGGAAGCGACCAAAGAGGAGATCTGCTCTGTTCACCACCCAGGACATTTCTTGTGGGTCGAGGGTCTGTCGCGGAAGTCGACACAGGAGCTACGCGAGCTCTCTACCCGGATGGACCAGGGCAGAGACTCGCTATACGTCGGCAGCATGACCTACGAGGCCTCGTTAATATCGGCCGGCGGCGCGATCGAGACATGCAAGAGCGTCGTTGCCGGTACCGTGAAGAATGCCTTCGCCGTCATTCGGCCGCCGGGCCATCACGCAGAATTCGATGCGCCCATGGGCTTTTGCCTCTTCAACAACGTTCCCATCGCCGCTAAAATCTGCCAGGCTGATTTTCCCGATCTCTGCCGCAAGATCCTGATCCTCGACTGGGACGTCCATCACGGCAACGGCATCCAGAATCTTTTTTACGACGACCCAAACATACTCTACATCTCTCTCCACGTCTACCGGGGCGGCGAGTTCTACCCCGGAAAACCCGACAACCCGATGACGCCCGACGGCGGACTCGAGCACTGCGGCGCCGGCCCTGGCCTGGGTAAGAACGTCAACATCGGATGGCACGATCAAGGGATGGGCGATGGCGAATATATGGCAGCGTTCCAGAAGGTCGTTATGCCTATCGCCCACGAGTTCAATCCCGACCTCGTCATCATCTCGGCCGGCTTCGACGCCGCCGCCGGCGACGAACTGGGCGCCTGCTTCGTGTCCCCGGACTGCTACGCCCACATGACGCACATGCTCATGTCGCTCGCAGGCGGCAAGGTGGCCGTGTGCCTCGAAGGCGGTTACGATCTCGAGGCCATCTCCAAGTCGGCGCTGGCCGTTGCCCAGACGCTCATGGGCGAGCCGCCCCCGAAGATGGAGGTTCCCATGATCAGCCGCGAGGCCGCCAAGGTGCTGGCTAAGGTCCAAGCCTACCAGGCGCCGTACTGGGAGTGCATGCGCGCAGGCGTCGTCGACGTTCAAGAGATGCAGACGCAAGGGTCATCGCGCTTGCACGACGTGGTACGGAGGGCCCAGCGCCAGGTCCTGTCGGAAAAATATGGGATAATACCGTTGTACATCCAGCGAGATATCCTTTTTAAGTCTTTTGAGAACCAGGTACTAATCACTAGGGGGATTCAGACCTCTCGCAGGATCTTGGTCATCGTTCATGACCCGTAAGTTGCTGCCTTGCTGGGGCATTCTTGGTCTGCTATGTATAGCTTCACTGACAATTGCTCCTAGGCCTGAGCTTCACGCACAACCCCACCCTCTAGATAACACCCTGGAGCCTCATAACGCATGGGTAGTAAGCACACCTGTCTTTCTACTGTTAGTGGTCAACCTCAGCTAACAATGCTAGACGGACGGAGTCACGCGCTATATCGATTGGGCCGTTCAGCAAGGATTCGGAATTATCGACGTCAATGTGCCGCACTACATTACACATCCGGAGGTATGAGTCCCCTGCAACAACCTCTGAATGCGCTCATGCTAATAATGATTGCTACCAGGATACGGATGCCTTCACCGCGCGCGCCGACGAGCGCACGATCCAGGCTCAAGTGCAGGAACTGATGTGTTACATCTGCGGACAACTACCTACAGCTCTCACGATACGGTCGAAGATATCTTTCTCATGGGCGTCGGCAACGCCTACCTAGGAATCAAAGTTCTACTCATCAACAGACGTACGCCGTACCCCCATCCCCTCTCCTCTTCCCGCCAATCCATCTCTCCTCTCCCCCATTCCTCTTCTTCCTCTCCCCAAAACCTCCCCCCCCCTCCCATCGCCACCCCCTGACTCAGTTAAAGTCACTAACCCCCCTCTCCCCTTCACAGTGGACCGTTCAAATCCCGCGTAGCGGGGCGTCGTCCAACTTTGTCAACGGGCAGCTTGCGACCCGTCAAATCCGACGTCGACAGCGACCTGTCGTCGTGGTACAAGGAGCACTCGCAGGTCTATGTCGCCCAACGACCACGCCTGTTGGTCCAGACCCGGACCTGACCCGCAAGGTCATGAAGCGCCGCTTCGGGAATGTCATCCGCGCCCCAGGTTAACGGCCTCACCCCGATGATGGCCGAGCACTTTGCCGATGTGCAGCAGTTTGTGTTGGAGAGGATGGGTGATACTGGTGACGGTGAGGTGGGGGAGTCGGAGGAGGAGGGGGGTGGTGGTGTTGCCGGGGGCAGTGGGAGGTGAGAGGTGAGGGGAGCTCGGGGTTGAGGTATTTTGGGTGCGTGCTTGCCGGGGGAGGGGGTTGGTGGGTTGGATGCTTGTGGGCCATGTGCGTGTACTATGTACCGCGTAGTAATATGGGTTTGGAGAGGGGGGATATGATGGGAACTATACATGGCGGATGGGCTGGACTAGGGGTATTTTCGTTGCTTCTGCTTTCCAAGGGGTGTATCTGTGTGTGTGTACATGGTCGTATATGAACATAGCGAAATCAACATGTTGCTCACTAGTAGAACCGGAGTGCCCGTACCATGTCTGCGAATTAAATACCTCCCTTGGGCATGAACTTATTGTTGAGTTGGGTGATCGTTCGGACAGAGCAATTCGTGACCGCCAACCCTAACCCGCCTGTCGTGCCGAAAAGGATCCCTTGCTGACTCGCGCGCGCGTCTGCACGGGATTCAGTATTAGTGGGTCCGGTACTTGAACTTTTGGGAATCTTCAGCAGCTCTTTCTCAGCCTCGTCCAACAACTTTAAATTTGTACGTTCATTGTTCACAGCGCCGATTCCGAGTTCTTATCAAACGGATTGCTCGAGCACCAAGGCAGAGATCATGGACCGAGGTCGAAAGTAAGTAACATCTCATTTGCTGTCTCGTTTTACACCTTGGCTTCATCATGGCTTCATCATGGATCGTTCGAAGTTGTGGGAGGGGAATGTGGAAGGGGAGAGGAAGGAGGGGGGGAGTGGGAGAAGGATCGTGTTGGAAATGGATATCGTGGGGCGAACCGCAACACCGGACGACTACCTAGTTCGACCACGATCGCGCGACGTCACAGACCGAACAGCCGACGGCAATTATGTCACCACCGCACGCATCGACCGTCCTGCTTCGATAGGGCGTACCCCACGGTCCATTCTGCTTCGGATGCCCTTGCTCGACACTCCCGATTGCATTTTTCACCCCTTTTCTCTCGAGCTTCCCCGTTCAAATCTCCCGACACCCAAAACCCACGCCCTTCTACAGTTGGAGTAGAGCGCCCCCGTTGCCGTTTAAGCTCCTGCCCATGGCTGGACGGATTCCCTGCAACAAGATGGAAACCAACTTGGCGATCTTTGGGCCACGGTTCGACGAGTCAGGCCTGGACGAGAAGGCAAAGGCGGATTATGTGAAGCGATGGGGGGACATCATCCGCGAGGAGGAGCGCGCCAACCCCGGGTGTATGAAGAGGTGGCTGGGTCGCTACGGTCCTTATGCCTCGATATCCTCTCCGATACCCAGCTCGCCGCCGTGTTGGGTATCCCCATCCAGTCTTTACACCGTGAAAGGCTGGATCTTGTAGGGTTGGCCTTTCTGGCGGACGTCTACGTTTCCCCGACCGCCCTCCGCTTTCTCTGGAATAACCGTCAGCGGAAAACGAAACGAAGCAGGCGGCGCTCTCGGAGCAGAACTCCCAAACCGCGCGGGTCCTGGGTCGATTACCAGCCCGAACGGAAAAGCTCGCTTCGACAGGTCTACACAAGGGCAGCCTGTCATCGCCTCCGCCACAGCACCCGGCTTTTTTGACGCCCGCTGAATCTGATAGATTGGGGGTTACTCATTCGACACCCACAGTCGACCAGAACCAGGAGTCTCAAACAAGTGCTCAATTTGCGCTTATTCGCTTAGATGGTCTTCACAGCTGCTGAAACCTTGCATCGCCAGTTTGCCGGCCAACCTTTCGGTAGCCCCAGCGATAGCATGAGTCTCTTAAGCCCGAGACAAAGCATAACTAAGTGCTTCGGGCATCACATTGAAGAAGAGGTTCGGTCATGACGAAATCAACCATGGTTCTCAGAAATCGGCCAAAACAGTCTGCTGGGCCGATACGCTTTTTGGTCTGTGCAGGCTCCTGCCGTGCATCTGAGTCTCAACCAGAAAAAGCTCGGATGAATGCCAAAAGCTCCCAGCGCCAGGAAGACAAGAGATGCAAACCCAAGTGTTTCTAATCAGCTGCTGTTGCCACTTCCACAAAATTTCGACGAACTTTCCGACCCAGGAAAATAATAAACGCCACTTCCTCGATCGAGCGCAAAATGAGCAATTGCGAGCGACAGCCGAACCAGCTTGCTTCCGAAACCAGCCAGCACGGTTTTGAATGCGAACAACATGCCGCTCTCATCACCGACGACGGATGTATCAGCCTCGACCAGCTGGATGGCTCTTTTGAGGAAATGACTTCCTCCTTACAACGCCGTCGGCGGCAGAGACGTGAGGCGGAACTTCGTCTCCGCGGCCCTCCCATTTCTCTCGCGCTTACAGGCGCGAACTCTATTGCCATTCGACCTAGGCCTAGTCTAGCGCGCGATTCGGAAGGCCCTATTTCTTATGATTCGAATTCGTCTTCTCACCTTGGTCCTTACCCGGTCACTAATCCCCACCCCAGTAGGTATGAGGATGGAGAAGTCCGGCGCTACGGGGCCGGAGAATCCTACCGACCATTCAACCGTGATCGATCACCGCCACCCCGCGCGCGAAGCCCGTTGAGGGATCGGCCCCGGACCCCGCCAGTGGCCAGCGACAGTTACGTACCTGGCAGGTCTCCCCGTCGCCGGTCGCGCAGCGTAGACCGCTTCAGGCGAGAACGGTCCAGAGAGCGGGGCGGCGGCGAAAGCTGGCGCCGCAGCCGGAGCAGGGTCCGAAGCCCCATTCGCCGCCTTTCACCACGACGGAGTCCTATCAGACGCACACCTCCCCGGTTCATCTCGCCGCGCCGGGACGATCGAGGCCTTGATAGAAGAGACGACAGGAGGGACGACCGAAGGGACGACCGGAGGGATGACCGGAGAGACGACCGGAGAGACGACCGGAGGGATGATCGAGATGAGCGGCCCAGGTCACCCATGCGCCGGGACTTTGAGATGAGAGACATCAGGCGCAGGTCACGGTCGCCGTTCGAGAGGGATAGGCCGCTGATCCGTCGGGACCGGTCACCACCTCGACGCTCGCCGCCTCCCGGGCCACGCGGAGGTGGCATGTATCGCCCCCGCTCTCGAACCCCGGATCGACGAGATCGTGATGACCGCTACGTGGGGCCATCGTATCGGCGCCCGTCACCGCCGCCGCTTCGAGACTCCATGCACTCTTCTGCACTGCCGTCGCGGTCTGTGTCGGGCAGGTCCTCGCCTAGGCCCACGTCTGTTCGCCGAGACGACCGGTCCGTACCGCAGTCGCCGGCTGCGCGGTCTCACATATCGAACGCGCCGACGCCTACTACGGCACTCCCGCCGGTTCGTGACACCCCAAAGCCACCGCCGCCGCCTCCTCAATCCTCACAACCACCTCTAGCCAGCCAGCCCACCCCAAAACCCCACGCGGGAGATGCCCATTCGACTCCGGTGAAGTCTCCCCCCAGAGGGCCCGCGGCTCTTAGGGCGCCGCCTACAGGGCCTGCGGCAGCGAGGAACTTCACCGCCCCAGCAACACCGCAAGCCGCACCATCCCCCCGTCATCTTCCCCCAGGCCCCACACCGTCCCGTCATGGCGCCGCCAGCCCCACGGCTCCCCCTTCCGGCCCTCGCGGTTATGTTCCGCCGTCCCGAGGAGCCAGCTTCACCGGCCGCGGAGGCAGTAGGGGTGCCTGGCCCGCCGGCCCAGCGCGTCATTCCATCTCGGGCAGCACCCAAACCGGCTCACCTACCGTCACCCCCGGCGGACCCAACAGCGGCATCCCGACCGGTCCCAGAGCCCAATCCACCTCATCCGCCTCGGGCTCCCCTTCCCTGACCTCCAAACCCTTCAACCCACCCACAGGCCCATCCTCCGGCGGCGGCGGCGGCGGCATCGCAAGCCACAGCCACGCGCGGCCGACACTGGCGCAGAACCTGCTCAACACGATGCCGCCCATAATCCCGGGGGGTAAGATCGACCCGATGGCGCTGCCGGTGGAGCTGGATCCGCACCACCGGCGCATGCGCGAGGAGGAGGAGCGGCTCCGCGAGGAGCTGCGCGCCAAGCAGGAGAAGCTGCGCAAGAGCCTGCGCGTGTGGGACAAGCTTGAGCGCGAGAGTAAGGGCTTCGAGCTCAAGAGTGACCTGAGCGAGCGCAGCCTGAAGAATATCGCTGGGGAAGGGCTGGGCGGCGCGGCGTTTTAGCCTGGTTGGCCGGCCGGCTAGCGGTTTTTATTCTTCTCTTCTGGTTTTTGGGGGGCCTATCTAGGCTTTGGGCTTTGGTTCTGGGGTTTGGTTTCGGGATTGGCTTTAGCTTTGGCTTTGCCTTTGGCTTTGGGCGGGCGGGCTACGTGAGCTTGCTCCGGTTGGCTTCGGTCGAGTCAGGCAGGGCTGGCCTATCGGGTCATACAACAAACATACATACATACCTGCCCAGACCGGAACTGATCACATCAATGTGGATGGAGGGAAGCAAAACCGAAAAATCGAAGAACCGAAACAAAGTGTGGGATTCTGTGGCAAGTCATTCTCTGAGGCGCCTGGCCTGGCTGGTGGGGCAAGAGGACAAGAACCGACTATTACTAGTGTGTGGGATGGGGTGGGATGTACTGTACCGAGGAAGAGGCCGACTGACTGGCTTGGCCTAGCCTGACTACCAACCTTTGCTCGCTGGTTCACTTAGGGAAGATTGGAGGAGGAAGAAGGAGCGGCATACAGAGACGGAGCGGGTAGTAGGGTGGCATCACGCATACAAGCGAGGCGGGCCGTTATTTCCTTTGCGTTCTTTTTTTTTTTTTTTCTCTTTCTATTATATCAAATGAGCTTTTTCCTTCACTGGATCTACGATGGCAACAGTCACCCAGATAGACAGTGAGTCCATTCATCAGTCCGCCGTCGCCAGTCGGCCAACCGTCAGGGAGTTGTTTATATCTATGCAATAGGTAATTTGTACGAGGGCAGGACATGGGTAATATCGACCATGGACAGAGAGGTAGACAATGTACATTTAGCCAGATGGCGAATTACCTCCCAAGTCTACCGCAGTAATCATGGGGAGGGGTTGATCTGCGTTGCGTTCTAGACCGTCCAACAAGGAGCCTGCATGGCCGGGGAGGGTGGCAAGGGATTTCTGCAGGAGCCGCTCCTGACATCATCAGATTTGAGAGCGTGTCGATCACAAAACAAAGCGAGCACAGGCAACGAACTTGGCTGTTGGGAATTTCTTGATTTTACTAGCCGGCTAACGCATTGATTACCAGTCCTCCACTACAACCGCGCAGTGCGGTTGAGTTACTTGCTAGCATCGACCTTGGCGACGTAGGCCAGGAGGTCCAGGACACGGCGGGAGTAACCCCACTCGTTGTCGTACCAGCTGACAAGCTTGACGAAGTTCTTGTTGAGCGAGATACCGGCCTTGGCGTCGAAGATGGAAGAGTTGGGGTTGCCGTTGAGATCGCTGGAGACGATCTCGTCCTCAGTGTAGCCGAGAATGCCTAGAGCAGTTATTAGTAGACGTTATCTTGTAGAGTGCATTCGAAAGCAAACTCACCCTTGAGGGAACCCTCAGAGGCCTCCTTGAGAGCGGCCTTGATCTCGTCGTAGCTGGCCTCCTTCTGGAGGCGGCAGGTGAGGTCGACGACCGAGACGTTGGAGGTGGGGACACGGAAGGACATGCCGGTGAGCTTGCCGTTGAGCTCAGGGATGACCTTGCCGACAGCCTTGGCGGCACCGGTGCTGCTGGGGATGATGTTCTGAGCAGCGCCACGGCCACCGCGCCAGTCCTTGGCCGAGGGGCCGTCGACGGTCTTCTGGGTGGCAGTGTAGGAGTGAACGGTGGTCATGAGACCCTCAACGATGCCGAACTTGTCGTTGACAACCTTGGCGAGGGGAGCCAGGCAGTTGGTGGTGCACGAGGCGTTGGAGATGACCTGGGCGCTGCCGTCGTAGGTCTTCTCGTTGACGCCCATCACGTACATGGGGGCATCGGCCGAGGGGGCCGAGATGATGACGCGCTTGGCGCCACCCTTGAGATGGGCGCCGGCCTTCTCGGTGGTAGTGAACACACCGGTCGACTCGACGATGTACTCGGCACCAGTCTCCTTCCAGGGGATGGCGGCGGGGTCACGCTCGGTGTAGAACTTGACCTTCTTGCCGTTGACAACGAGGTCGCTGCCCTCGACGGCGATGGTGCCGTTGAAGACGCCGTGGGTCGAGTCATACTTGAGCATGTACTCCTGCAAGGCGGTTGCGGTTAGCTCCGGTCAGCTTCGGAGGGACGCGTCTCGGGACCATGGCGTGACGATGGGCAACTTACAGCGTACTTGGGCTCAATGAAGGGGTCGTTGACGGCAACGATCTCGACATCATCGTGCTCGACGGCGTTGCGGAAGACGATACGGCCAATGCGGCCGAAGCCGTTGATGCCGACCTTGATAGCCATTTTCTCTGTGCCGCGGTGGTAAGTGAGCTGCTGTTCTTTTGGAGGGGTAGCTCGATCGCGGGGTAAGTGTGAAATGTTGCAGAGCTCAATGGATGACAGAAGGAGTAGCGAGATTGGATGAAATTGGGGATGGGAAAAGCTTTTTAAATGCTCGGGTCCCAGGGGAGTCCGGAACCGGGCAGGAAGCAAGCAAGATGGGATTCTCTGTTTGGTTGCGCAGGTCCGATACAGGCGGGATGAAGCAGGTGCGGGGTCCGTGGGGGAGGCTTTTCGTTGCTTACCTGGGAGTGATAAAGAGATTTGTTGTTGACTAGGAGGTCTTACGTGTTGTCCGGGACAGATGATCGTCCGAGGGAATTTTTGAAGTGTTTTGAGTCAATGGGGAGATGTGGAAGGGAAGGGAGCTTCTCGTGTTGTGGTGGCATGAGCGACAATAAAAATGGTTGAGCCCCTCGCCAAGGTGGGGTGTTCTTTCCCAATTGCTTTGCATCACAGATTGTGCTGAGGTGGGGCAGGTGGGCAGCTTCCCATCCCTCCCTCGAGGTCTCCGTTGCAACCTTGTTAGCGAGCAACTTGGCGGCGCTGCCCGTTTCGGACCGACATCCATGAAAAACATGGTGTAACTCTGCGGCTCGGGCATGGGCGAAACCAACAGCGCATGAGGTATTTCCGTAGCGTTCATCCTTAGCTGCATCCCTCGCCACAGATGCGGCATCGCCGCCACCGGGCAACTCCCCGTCCGGTCATCCCGCTTCAACAGTAAGCGAGCTGAAATCCGGTGTGGTGGACCTTGACCGGGCCGTCGCCCTGCTTGGCTCACAACCATGTGATTTTACTCACTCGGTTTGATCCGAACTTCCAACCACGCCGGCCTCTGCATCCTACAAGTCAACCGTGACCGGGCATGGAATGGATGGCGGCGGAAACGATTTGGCCCCATGAGTCATCTAACCATGCCGTTCTCCCAACGTAAACAATAAGTAATCACTTCCGGAAACAGGAACAACCAACGGGTCTCTGAGCCGCAAACGCATCCCTCCTTCGTAAGATTCCGTGTGTCGTACTCGTTGGTAATGAGGTCCTCGAAATCCTTCGCCCTGGCTTCGTCTGCTAGTTCGGCAGCTCTCTCCCTCCCGGGCCTTCAAGCACAGATATTTGGGAGAGCTCCGGGTAGCAATCCCACTTCCACCTTCCCGCCCTGAAACCTATCCACAACCTCCAAAATGTTTATCGTTCATATATTGCCGCTGTACTGAAGAAGCCGGTTGGTTGCGACCGAGTGATGCTTTACGGCTCTCTGCAGTCAGCCAGCACTCCGTCAAAGGGAGACCTGGTCCTTGTAGTGATACGGATCAGGTTGGTGGGCATGAAGCCGAATGAGTTGGCTGCTGAGCTGTCTTCCAAGATAGACGAGCTACCTACCTAGCGCTATGCTAGTACTTCCCTCGTTCTAGAATGCGAACGTAGGTAGAGATGCGTAGTTTCCAGTTCACCCACTGCTTACATGTAGCTCTCCCCTGCCTCAGACTACCTAGTTATCTCCTGCTCTTTTACTGCCAAAAACCCTCCCTCCCAGGTTCTTCCTTTCATTCAAGAACGCAAGGCATTGTACGGTAGGACTACGGCTCTTGTGTTCAAAAAGAAGTCCATTGTTTAGTTTTCATCGCCCAACATCGCCAATCTCTACAAGAGTGCGGGCTGGGATCCTGGCGATTGGGGAAAGTACATGTAGGTAGTTTGGGTTGTCGGCTGTAGGCTGGGAGAAGTACGGCTCGGAGATGCTATTGCAAGCCTAGCCGGTCGCACATTCCCTTAACATTTACGCCAGGATCAACGCCGATTTCAAACCTAAGGAGGCCGCTAGCAAGCAGGCGATGGATGAAGGCAGAGTCACGGCCGAAATCGAGTCGCTCGGATTCTTCGCCCAGGTGGAAGACCACGACGCTGTTGCTAATACAATTGGGATCACGGCCGTCATGGTCCAGGATATATCCGGCGAGAAGATCAACAACTGCCCGTTTGACATTAGCTGATACAGGGCCTTATTTTTAGTCTTGCTATGCCCGGCTTTTGTCCATCTCCAAGAAGGCAAAGCTCGCCGGTATCGATCCGACGAATGGCGATATCGGCTATGCTTACTTTGAGGATGACCATCCTACGGCCTTGCTCCGGACTATGGTTCAATACCCTGGCATTCTCGGTCTCGCTTTCAAAAAATCGGAGTTATCAACCCTGTTGACGTATTTGTTCCCAGCCGTCTAGCTCATCAGTTGTCTTCCAGTCATGATGTACTTACAGGTAATCGGGGCCCGGAGAGACATGGCGTAGTCCTTGCCCGCGCGGTGTTATAGGGAAATTCGCGACAGGCTCTCGGGGAATGGGATGCGGTTGCTTGGTATCAAACCCCGTAGAAAGCAGGCCTTCACCCCTTCACCCCCTGCCGTCCCAAGGGCTGACAGTGTATAGGATGTGAAATACATTCCAGATCAACAAGATTGCTTGCTCTCACGGTTGGGGGAATGGTAGGAGATGATGATGTGGCTTTGATCCTAAGTCTCTACGTAGTCTTGTAGTTCCGATAGTTTCGATTTCTTTTCTCTTTTCTTTTTTTTTCTCTTTTTCTCCCTGGCTACCCTCTGTTGTGGAAATCAAACCCTGCCACAGTGATTTTTTTGAATACCACAAACACTTGATGCTAGTTAGGTGTTATACCGTAGGTTACCTGCTTTAGACATTCCTCTAACTCTACTAGATGATCCGGGATTCCTCAACTCAAGTCCCCCTTCACCGAGTGTTTTTGAATGCCAAGATCCGCAGAGACAGTTCTGGGGTCTTTCGCTACGGGCACAAACTGATGTCTATCCAGATGTCACTCCTTAACATCGGGACTCGGAATTCAGTTCGGGACTCGTTGTCGGTCACGAAAAGCAAGGCGGTAGGAAACGGACGGGTTCGGCTAAAACTGGGCCAACAACCACGGTAATCTCGGCCTAAGGCCCGAAGGCTGCCGGCGATTATCTTGACTGCTCCGTGGGCCCGCCGCGTTCCGAAGCCGAAGTGGAGAGAGATGGGAACCTTGAGCGGCAAGGCTGTCTCTGACGTTGTTCGTATCCTGGAGGCTGGGGCAATGACACCACCGAGTCACCGACCATTTGGCCCATTTAATAACCAAATATAGACAGTGTGATGGTGTTGATTGAGCCTTTTGCAGGTCAGCAGATAAATGGCCCGTTTCCCGACAGATCCGAGTATCGGCGCGCAAATTCCAGCTATCACGCCACCGATTTGTATCAATAATAATCGGTCATTCGAAACCACCTCTGTCACCTGTGGTTGGAAACACGTGTGGGACGGGTAGGCGATCAGGTTCGGCGGGTATGCTGATGCTAAAACAACAGTGCTGATCGCCAAGCTGCGCCTTCGCGCCCTTCCCCTGGCAAGTTTTGGCCTGTCAAATTTTGACCCGCTGAGAAATCCCAACCAAACAGCTTAAGTGGGCCCTTGGGAGCTTGCCTCTCAAGGTTCCTCCTGTGGACACAACACACAAGGCCGGTGACTGTCGCCCAGAACGGCAATAAGCAGCGCCGGATGGTAAATTGACTCACACTTTTGATCGGTTTTGGGTTTCTCACCGGTATTATTTGTATTGATTCCTAATCTAAATTGTTGCTTTGAGCTTCCCTTGAATGGAATTGCCGTTGTGGTTCGGAACTGGGAGCTATTGAGTGCACGCTGCTGGACCAGTTGAGTTCCTGCCCTTCTTTTTCGTCTCGTCAACCACAAGTGAGTGTGGCTGGTTAGCAATGGCAGTTATGTTGTTTTCTATTGTTCGTGCCTTGTATGCTAAACCCATTTTCACTTGAAGGGGATTTACTCATTAATGTTCCTCTTGCGTGTGCGATTGTGCTGGGCCATTGTTGAGCTCGTTGGTTAGGTAACTAACAGTCTCTCTTTTCTTGTTGTATCAGCGATATTCAACAGAACACTCTGAGAAGGTCAATGGCAATGCAAGAAAACTGGCATTATTATAGCTATGCTAGAGAGAACAAGCAGCGGCAACCACAGGGTTGAAAGGCTCGTCCATCTGAATCTCAACTGTGCCTCCCCCTTCCGCAATGACATCCACAGCTCAAAGTTCACCCTTCTCTCAACCTTTTTACTCTCCATCAACTTACGACCCTCCCACCAGAATTGAATCGAACCAAGCTCTCAAAGTACGAAGAGCAAGAAAAGTAAAGCAAAGCAAGAAACAACAAAAGCAAAGAAAAAACGGAAGAAAGAAAGAAAAAAACAACCACAAACCACACACGAGGAGCCCATCACACCTCCTCCTCACCCACCCCCCCCACCCCCAACCACAACGGCACCCAACCCAACAACCCCTTCCCCCCCCTCACCACCACCACCACCACCAGCACCCCCCTCCCCAACCACCTCCCTCAAATCCCTCCAAATTTCCCTCTCCACACCCCTCCACAACCGAAAAACAAACCCCGCCGGATACGTCTCAAACCCGGCGGCGCGCGCGGCCGCCACGAAGCGGCCCAGCGCCGTTTCGGCCGCCGTCGTGCCCCGCCCCATGCGGTGGTGCGACTCGACGCCGGTGGCTTCGTTGCGCAGCTGCATGTAGAAGGCGCCGTCGGTGAAGCGGTAGTAGAGGCGGGGGATGCATTGTTTGGTGTTGGGGGGGGAGGTGGTGGTGGTTGGGTGGGGAGTCGGGGTGTTGGCAAGGTTGTTGTTGTTGTTGTTGTTGTTAACGACCTCGGGTTGGGGGGTAACCGGGGCGGCGGAGGCCTTGCGGGCGCGCGACTTGCGTCGGGCCGGCGTCTTCTTGGGCTTGGGCTCGGGCTTCTGTTCCTCGGGCTGCTGCTGCTGCTCCTGCTGCTGCTGCGCTTGTGCCGGGTAGTAGTTGGTCGGTTCGGGGACGCCGGTCATGGTGGTACCCGGGGCTTGCGTGGCGGCGTGCTGCGGGTAGCTCGTTGTGGTGGTGGCGTACCCGTCCATAGGCGACGGCGGCGGGGGATAGTTGTGCACGGGGGACGGGTAGCTGCTCTCCACCGGCGACAGCGCCGGGAAGGGCTGCATGGGAGACGAGGACGTGTGGCCGTTTATCCGGGGTGAGCTAGTCGGGCCAGGAGTGCCCGGGGCAGTGGCATAGCCCGGGAGATGAGGGCTGCCCGCCGAAGCGAATCCGTTGGCCGTGCTGCTCTGGCTCGAGACACGGGCATGGGCAGTAGGCTGTCGGGTAGGCGTATCTTGGACCTTAGCCACTTGGGCGGAACCACCGTCGAACCTCGGGGGAGACCTGTACTCAGCCATGATGGCCCGGTACACGGCTGCCATGCCCCTTCTCGCAGGGATCAAATCAGAACCGCTGACCGGGCCCGAAAGTAGAGCCTTCTTGAAGACGCAACCGCGCCGCTCGATCTCCTGGAGGATTCCCTGGAGAAATTTGAAGGCGCCCTTGAGGAAGGCCTGTTGGTCGTCTTGCGGGTCTGTCGCATTCACCGCGACGACGTGGGCTTTGATGACCTGCTTGAGATGGCTGCCAAGTTCGGACCGGAAGTCTTCGATCGGACCGTCCAGCAGCGGCTGTGCAAATACAGCACCAGCGCTGGCCTCCTTGACTACGTGTGCGATGGCGGTACAGATACCGGCCTTGATTGCCGTACCGAACTTCATCCCGCCACTGGGGGGCGAGATATTAAAGTGGAGGGCAGGGTCGATGGGAATCTGCTGAGGGGTCTTGAAGGCCTGAGTAGGGGTTTGGTTGTTTTGAGCAGTCGTCTGGTTGTTTTGAGTAGAGTTCTGCTGGTCTTGGGGGGTGGCCGGTACAGGGGGCGGCTGGGCAATGGGGATAACAGCGCCCTGTTGGTTCACACTCTGGCGACGCTTGGTGGGAGTTTTTATGCCCTGGCCGATGGATGCCTTGCGCTTGTTCTCCGACGATGGAGTCGCTACAGCTTGAGTCGAGACGTGGGCTGAAGACGGAGTCCGCATCTGAGGCAGAGAACCCGGGGTGGACGGCTGAGACGCGTGCTTAATAAACATGGTGTAGCTCGAGGGCGCCTGCTTGGGTTTCTGCATCACAGTACGAAGCGTTTCGGACAAGGTCTTCTCTTTGGTCGGCATCCGTACCGCCTTAGGCTGCGGAACGGCACCAACTGCCGTAAAAGCGGCCTGGATCGCCGTCGGTGTCTGCGTTGTTTGCTGGGCAGCGATGCTGACATTAGTAGAGAACATCTGGTTCATGCCGGAACTATAACCCATGCCGGACATCTGATCCATGTTGGGCAACTGGTTCATGCTGGACAGCTGGTTCATGGGCAGCTGGTCGATCTCGGACATCTGGTTCATGTTGGGCATCTGGCTCATGTTGGACATCTGACCGGTCTGCGACGTCGAGATATCGACATGGCCGCGTGTCTGTCCCATGGCCGGCATGCCGACATTGAACATGCCTTGGCCATTCTTGGGGGACTGTTGGGAAGTAGCCGAGCAAACAAAAGGGTCGGACTCCATGACTTGGTCAAGGCCAAATGAAGGTTCAGTGGTCTGTTGCTGGGCCTGGTCAGAAATCGGCTGGGCTTTGGCTGCGACCTTCTCCTTCGCCGTGGCCTTCTTTTTAGCCGGTGTCTTCTCCTTGGCCGGTGTCTTCTCCTTAGCTGGCGTCTTCTTCTTGCGGGCAGGGGCCTTCTTCTTGCCTGTCGGGGTTTCGGCGGTGACGATGCTGCTCGCTGGCTCCGGCTGGCTCGCCATAGCAGCGGTCGCCGACATGACTTCGGAGATGGACGGGAGCTGCGCCTGGACGTCGCCCGAGAAGAAGTGTTGAGCCATGGCATCGCCGATTAGGCTATCACCCCTCATACCCGTCTGACTCTGAGCAAGCGGTAACTCCGAAAAGTCAAACTGCTCGTCGAATGCTGCAGCCGGGAACCCCGGGGTGGAGAAATTCATCTCAGGCTGGCCGCCGGCCAGAAGCATGTCCTGTTCGGCGAAGATGGTATTGAAATCGAGAGGTCCGTTGGATTGCAGGTGCATGTAATCCGGGAATTGGAAGTCATTCTGAGTCGGGAAGGTGTTCTGGAACTGTTGGTCAAAGTTATCCGAGTCCCCCTAGAACTGGACATCTTGAGCATTGCTCGAGTGCATCTGGGAGGCTCCGGCAATGCCGGAGTTGGTGTTGTTGGGGAAGACTGCTGCTTCTGCGGCGGCCACGCCATCAATGAGGTTGCCGTCCAAATCACACATCACAGAGTTGTGCAGCTGAGGGTCCTCCGGAATCCCCAGCGCCTCACAGATGAGCTTCTGATCGGCCAGGCGTTGAGCCTCACGTTGGGCCTCGGCAGCGCGCGCCTCTTCTTTCATCCTCTCATCTTCAGCGGCCTGAGCTGCCATGGCAACAACAAGCTCCTCGTGGAGTCTCATCTCCTCGGCAGCCTTGGCTTCGGCCGCCTTGCGCTGCTCTTCGGCCTCGGACTCCGTTTTTTCACGCTCAGCAGCCGCAACCTGAGCCCGAGCCTCAGCCTCAGCCCTCTCGCGCTCGTCCTTAGCAGCAGCAACCCGCTGCTCCTCAACAGCAGCAGCAACCTGGCGGCAGGCTCCCTCCTCGATGATAGCCTGAGAATTGACGAGCGCCTCCACTCTGGCGCGCCACATCTCGCGCTCGCGGGACTGCTTGATCAGGTAGCTGAATTTGTCGTACTTGGCTATCTCCCGTTGCCAGTACGCCTCCGACTTGCCGGTCAGCTCCTTGATGAAGTCGTCGCGCTCGGCATCCTGCTTCTCGCCGGCCTTGATGGCGTTGGCATCCGTCTGCATGTTGGCGATGATGGGGCCCACGGCTGGGTTGGCGGCTTTCCAGTTCTTGAGAGAGATGTGTTGCTCGCTCCAGGCAACTTGGGCTGTGATGGCCGACGTCTTGAGATGCTCCGAGGTGGAGCTGTAGTCGGGTTTGGTCTGGTTGGAGTCGGTGGTGGTGAAGAGGTACCACGCTTTGAAGGCTATTTTGTACGCGGCGAGGAGCTGCATTTCCCTGCGGTGCTGATCCCAAAAGTCGGCGCGGAGTTGATCTGCCAGGGGGAGTGTCAGGCTTTGGTGGGCATGTTTGTTATGGCTGACTGTGACCGTCATAACGGTGAATGCGAGATGGGTGGGCCCGCCATGGTAATGTTTGACCATACGGGGAGGGTTAGCTGGCGGGGGTTGGGTGGAGATTCAGTGCTTTGTACTTGCTCTTCTGTCTTTTATGTTTCTCTGCTGTTTGTTTTGGTTCTTCTATGTATGGTTTACTTGTTTTATTTTGGGG